GCATATCGATCAATTCTATAAAATTAATCAATTAAATCCTACGAATGCAGACATCATTCAATGCGCACGAAAGGCAATGAATTCGAATAGAACAACGTGGAAAATAACGTGGGAAAATTTCCAAAACCCTATCACATTGAAAAACTACTAACTTCAGTCAACCAAACATCCCAACGGTATACTCCATCCACATTCCTCAAATATGGAACATAGCAAATTAATCAAATGAACACCACACACTTGAACAACCCCACAACGACGGTTTTATGAACTCAAAATGGTACTAAAAAGGATTCGAGCCTAACTAATCTTCAAATGAATATATCCTACGTCAAGATCGCAACACAATTTCCGTGCGGTCTCTCGCATATCCAAATCACATACCTCATGCATCCAGATGAATTTGAGGATAATGGAGAACCGAAAACACAACAAAAAATAGTTTATTGAGTTGTAATCGGTGCATTAGTGCACGTAGTTTGAATTAAGAATTGTATCAGTGTATTGCAAATGGCTGCGTCACGTGATCATGAATATACTGTTTTGGTACACTTACTAGTATTCTATTGCGCGTATGCTACTAGGTGATTGGTCCTCTACAAATATCAACGGTATTCAAGGAGAAGAGTGATAAAAAGAATAAATGTGATTCACTTACCACCGCCATCACTGATCAGTGCTGATCACACAGTAAGCAACAAACAATCAGTTGATACCTATAAAGGGGACTCTCAACTCGTAAGGTTACCAACGACTTGAAATTACATTCAACAACATCATAAATATGGCTCACTCAACAAAAAATATCTTTCAATACCAAATTTGCAGTTACTACCACGTGATGACTACACTTCTGCAGATATCATGACCATAAATACAGAAATAATTTATAATAAGATGAATAAAATCAAGTTTATCACCGTGATGTACGAATGTGGACAAGAATAATGAAATTTCAACGATAAAAACATTAATAAAATTACCTCAAAATGCTGAAATTTTCCATTATTACAAAGATTATAGCTCTGAATAATTGCAATACACAATCGTCACTCTTCAATTGTGGCAATCGAATTGCATTTTAATTACAACGATACGATTGCAACAATAAAAATAGCGACAGAT